AAGTGGGCCAGCATTAACCTTGGTATTATCCTGTGTATTGAGTGTTCAGGGATACACAGGTAATCCAACACTAGTTTGTCAGTTTTTCTGTGGATAGTAGATGTATTTGTCAGTGAAGAAAGAGCTTAAAAGAAGCATTTGTTCTTCTTTTGGCTTTCCAGTATGATTTAAGACCACCAAAGATTCATTAATGCCTTTTGCCTGTTTCGGCCCTCCCTCTCTTATATTCAAGTATTTCTCTTCTGTTGGGTTCATTTCAACCTTGCCGTCTTGTACCTTTTCCCTCAATTTGTCTTCCTTCGTGTCATCTTTTTTTCCTCTCCTTTTATTACCCTTCCTTTCTTCCTTCCTGACATCAGCTTATCTGCTTGATAGGAGTCTGGGAGTTCAYGTTTCGAAAGTAAGATCTCTTACACTTGATGCTTGGGAACCAGAACTTCTTAAGGTACTATATGTCATACCGTAACAATCTTTTTAAATATTATATTAAGTTTTTCTTAAAGTTTTTTTTTGGCCAAATAATGAGTTCTTTTTGCACTCAATCAATCCCAAAAAAATGTTGTCTTATAAAAGTGTAGGTMTAACTACTGTAGACGGTATATTCTTTCTTATTAATATTGCCAATTTAAACTATAGATGATGTCAGAACTAGGCAATATGTTGGTCAATTCTATTTATGAGTCCAAAGTAGAAGCAAATAAAAAGAAAATCAACCCTCAGAGCTCAAGGTATGCAGTCATGATGTTTGTTTATAATGTACATGTATGTGCTATTTTTGAAATACTTCCGGTAAGTCAGGACATCTGATGCAGAACTGCATCCTGGGTAGTTCAGTACAGGCCTTGTTTTCATCCTTGTTGAATTGAAAATTATTTKAATCCATTGAATCAGTGGTCATGATAAAATTGTAGTAGTCTTAAATCACAGACAATAACCTTCATTATGRTTGCATATTTCAGGAGTGATCGTGAAACCTATATCAAAGCAAAGTACATCCATCACAAATATGTCTCCCTTGATACCTTCCTAAGAACTTGTAACCGATTAGATGGCAGTATAATAAAAAACCTAGCTCGTATGAAGGTCTATCATGAACAAAAGAATGCCCACGGTCCATTAGAACGCTCAGACTCAACCGTAGGAAAGCTTTTACAAGGTCTGAAGCTGTCCTTCAAGGGAGAAAGACCAGAAAGAGCTCGAAGTGGATCTACAGATGTTATGAGTGNATTGCAGTGGAGAGTGACACTATATTATCACTGGTCGGTTTCTATTTTCTATCAATTAATTACAGGTACATAAGCACAGGAATATAAAAATAGGAACCATGCATCAACAGTTTAAGATTGTTTTAGGAAAAATTTGGTATCTTTTGGTATGCTGGATTCGCTTTATAAGAAAAGATTTCATTGAATGATACAATCAGAGTGCTGCATTCTCTTTTTTTTTTTTTTCATTCTTTCCCTAATTACTATAAGCCAAGCAGATTTCTCAGAACTACAAAAACAAAACACAAACCTTTGGGAAAAATGCAGTAAAAGACAGCTCTGATAGTAAAAAAATTCTATCCTTACATTATCGGATTTGCTGGCTACCATTTTAAAACATCAAAATCCATACACACTTTTGTCTAGTTTTCTTCTAAGTCAAGCTTTCGTCCTAAGAGTCTGCTGKYTTCTCTTGTGGTGKTTGTGGCTCAGGGTCTGTTTGTTTGGGAGCTTCTTCCTTCTGTAGTGAAAAGGAATTCATATTATATCCATCCATTATCGTTTATTCATTTGCTCATCCATTCTTTCATTTAYCTATTTATTCATCCTATTTTTCTATTGTTATTCAGTCTTTCAACCATTTAAATTGATAAAACAATTCAGTTTAATATCCTGATT